TGTTATATTATGCCTGGCACAGCTCTTTCATACCCACTCAGCAGTAATTTCTTGGCAAATCAGAGTTCTTGCTACATGTAATTAGCATTTCCTCCCATTATAAATAATTGTTCCTCATTTTCTACTAATTTTTTTCTAGGATGTTGATATATTTCCAGTAACAATAGACAAACCTGAGCAAATTGTTTCATGAGCCTTCGATACACCAATTTTGTTACTGTTGCCACCCAATACTGTGCCACTGGCTCCACAGTATATTAAGAACATTAATGCTTGTGCTTGATGGAAGTTATATTTTAAATTTGTTTTGAAATTCAGGAAAAATGTTTAATACTTTGAATATGGTTGTCCATATTGTACTTGTTCTACCTTCTTTGTTTAAAGCTTTGATTTCTGGGTGGAATCTGGATCTAGTACATGTTGATATATGGGATAGGATTCAGTTCAAGATGAAGATACCAAAAGTATTGTCTATATATAAGCTGAGTGATTAAGTCCCCAGTGTAGTCAATGAAGATATGGTCAATACAGTCAATGATGTTGAAAGAGTTATTCAAGCAACCTGCCAGGGTGGGTGTTTGATGCAACTTGAAATGTCCTTATCTGGTCACCTGCTGTACTTCAAAAAGGCATAGATCTTAAGTCCCGTGTCATATCTGTGAAGCAGACATCTCAAATGTCTGGGAATCTTAAATAAAACTAGAAGTCTATGTCTGGGCAATGGAAAATCGACATTGGTAGAGTGAAATAATTTATAGGCTCCACTGTTCGTCAACTGTCATTATTTTTTCAGGAGCTTAGATAACTCTTTGGACACAGTTAGTTGTTATAATCTTAAACTGAAAACTACCACTATAAGTATGATTAGCTTGTGATTTCAGGCTCCATCTATGACACTGCTGTAATTGATGATAATTCTGTCACTATACTGCCAGAAGGTGGTGAAGGGTCTGGAGCACATGTTGCATGAGGAGCGGCTGAGGGAACTGGGGGTGTTTAGTCTGGAGAAGAGGAGGCTGAGGGGAGACCTCATCGCCCTCTACAGCTCCCTGAAAGGAGGGTGCAGAGAGCTGGGGATGAGTCTCTTTATCCAAGTAACAAGTGATAGAACAAGAGGGAATGGCCTCAAGTTGCACCAGGGAAGGTTTAGACTGGATATTAGGAAACATTTCTTTCCAGAACGGGTTGTTAGGCATTGGAATGGGCTGCCCAGGGAAGTGGTGGAGTCCCCATCCCTGGAGGTGTTTAAGAGTCGGGTTGACATAGCACTGAGGGATCTGGTGTAGCTGGGAGCTGTCAGTGCTAGGTTAATGGTTGGACTGGATGATCTTCAAGGTCTTTTCCAACCTAGATGATTCTGTGACTCTGTGAAGGATGTAGATACTGCCAAAGCATTCTTGAGCAAAGAATTTTTTCCTATTCTCACTTCACTCTATGCTAAAAAGGCTGCAGGTTTTGTTTTGGTTTGGTTTGGTTTGGTTTTTTGTCCTTGAGATACAGTAAGAAACTTATCCTCTTTCCCATGATGATCCAGAGGTAGAAGTAGATCTGTAGTCTAGGAGCTGGCAGAGCTCATGCCAAGGTACTGCTCTCAACTCTTGAGAACTACAGGTATGCTGCTTAGCTTCTCAGTGCTTCACTGTGTCCATATGATGGCTATCAGTGTGACGAAGTACCAAAAATACAATGTAGAGATTTGAATATGTGAAACTTTTTGATCCTTACAATGCCTGGAGATACAGAACAGGAAAAAAAATATGCACTTTGGTATTGATTTTATGAATGAATTGTCTTGCATTAAAGTTATAATATCAGAAGTATCTGGAATCCCAGGCAAGTATTTCTAGGGTAGTTAGAAGTAATATGAAGTAATAAGCTTCAAGCTGAACTGTCTAATGTTAGCAACCAGTATAAAATTAATTTGGTGTAAATATGCTATTCTTGAATGATGACAATTCAGCTTCTATAGTGTTATAATTCATTTGTTAAAATAAATGTCAGTGAAAATTATAAAATTCATGCTATTTTGTTGAGTAATGGACTATTGGAAGATCAGAATTTATATTCTTAATCCAGGAATACACTGCAGAAGAACCATGAGTGCTGTGAGTCATTACGGTTGTTGTGCAATGAAGTTAAAGATGGTGTATTTCATAAATTTATATCCTGTTCTCTTTGACTCATGCCTCTGTACAGCCAATCCCCCAGACACAATCTAGACTTTATGCTAATATATTGCATTGCCATTTCTACTTTTTTTCCTATGTTTGAACAGTTTCTATGTAAAAGTAGATATTTCCAAGTGAAACCTTAAAATCTTAGTACATTTCCTAGAAATCAGAGTCTTTCAGAAGACAAACAGTTATTTTTCTTTCTTAGCTTCTACACTCTTTCTCATTCTTGATTGTATAATTTTTTTCTCATTGGTAACATTTGTTGACATTAAGTACAAGAAATATTGCCCTTTTTTTTTTTTTTCCCCAGGCTGCTCAGTAACCATGTTGTGGCTGCCTCGGCTGGCACATTCTGTTCTTAATTAGGTTTACAGATATTTTGACTCATTCCAAGGTCTCACTAATGTCTCTCTCTGGCCTGTAATTGTCTTTTGTCACTGGTCTGATTGTTCTCTCTTTGTCTTTTCTGAGTGGGCTGAAGAGTCGGGAAATATTTCTTTTTATGTATGTTGTGGATGGTTCCATCCACTTCTCATTTTTCTTCTTGAAAACTTGTGGGCATCTTTGATGCTTCTTTTCTTCATTCTTCCTCATTTTATCCATTCCTCTCCTTGGTGTGGACCTTCATGAGGACTTTAGTGTGGCTTTGTTGGTCTTGCTTGCTAATTTTCACTGCATGTCAGGTCTCTGACTCATTTCTTTCAGAAGAAAACTAAATGCACACATGCATGTGATTGTCTAAGGTATCTCAGTTGTCAAGCTTGAGAGTTACTATTGAACTTTCACTATTTGTCACTGCTTCTTATTTGAAGACTTATCAGTACAACAGGCTTGGGTCAAGACACTCTCATGCCCTAAGGCCTTCCATGTTCACAATATACTTTTTGTTATTGTGCTTGTTAGTATTGCTCATAACCTTTTTTTCTACATTTAGATGAGTAGTTACACTGACTGCCTGTTAGACATGAAAACAAATAATTAGACAATAACCACAAGCAATGGAAATAAAAGAAATCCCACAAGATGTCCTGTTCTTAGGGAAGTACAGCTCAGTTTTATAGCTGTGAACATTATGGGTATTTAACAGTATTTGCTTGTATATCCTAGCTGTTCCGTGTAGAGCCCTATGTCATAGCAGCCTCCAAGTACTGCCACAGGGTGAGTATGAGGAAGTAATTATAGCAATCTAAAATGTGACTAACTAGTAAAATCTACACTCTGAACTTCCTGAGATGTTAAACTGGTGTCTTCCCTTTGATAATTTATTGCAGCTCAGATCAAATCAAAGCACCTGCGGCAATTCAAAGGAGCTGAGAATTATACCCATTGTATTCAAACAATGGGTGGACAGTTCTTGACATTAACATAAACAAATACGCACTTCATTTCAGAAGAAAGAAAATTGGATGAAACAAATCATCCAACATCTAGTCCTGCAAAGACAAACGGTGTGTTAAAGTTTCTTGTATAATCACGTAAAGGAATACCTGTAGCTGCATTGTAAGCAGCAATTTTGGACAGACTGGGTATACATATAGTAATATAATTAGTGGCGATACTTTATACTTACTTAGCACCTTTCATCACAAAGTACATTATCAAGCACTAGTTATTTGAGCCTTACAACATGTCTGTAGAAGACTATTATACCATTGTAGAGATTGCACACAGAGATTAAATGGCTTGGGTTAGGCCACACAGCGAGTGAGTAGCAGAGCCAAAAGGAGAGCGTGAGTGCTGGCTTCCAGCCCTGCGCTCGCTCTACTGGACTTCGCTTCCTTAATACTTGATTCCCATAGTGCTCCTCTAATAGAGCTACTGAAAATTTCGAGCACTCGTGAAGTTTTGGTGTAATACCAAACCGGTTGTGTTTCTCTCTCCTAGCTCCTTTATGATGTTGCAAAATACTGTAATCATCTTTTTAAGGGTCTCATTTTACAGGTTGCCCCAGGTCACCTTGCCCTGGTGGGGGATCAGCCTGACACTGTGTTGCTCCCACCCCGCATCCCCAGTACACAGTTGCTGGCTGCTGCTGCTTCTCTGCTAGCGTTCGTCATGGCCTCAGCGTTATGCCCTTAGCTCTGCTGTGTGAGTGGCTGGACCATTCTGCGCTTAAATAATTCCAGCTATATGCTAGTTAATGAGAAACAGATGTATCTCCCAGGCACTGGCGAGAGCTCCTCGGTCCCGCTGCTCCCGTAGTTTCTCACGGGCAGACATTCAGGTAACTGATGCCGGCTAGCCACAACCTGCCTCGAGTTTTGTCCTGCGTGTCTGCGCCTCTGAGGGCGAGCAGGCGAGGGAGGAGGACGACGACGACGACGGGGGAGCGCAGCGGGAGGGAGGAGCGGTGCGGGGCTGGGCGATGAA